AAAGGATTAATGCCATCTGCGCTTAGACCAAACCATATGTTCCTTGCTTCATCTGCAAACTCCTTCCCGTACTTTCTCTCATTTTTTCTCCACTGCGACCCGTCAGCGGGTACTCTCAACTTTATGTCTTTCTTATGGTCTTCTCTGTGCCATCGCATCGCCTTGGCATGCTCTTTGTTTTGGAACAAATGTTTCAACTGTGGTATTATAGGAGCATACCACATCACCTTGGCAAGAATCTTTTTCCTGGGGCGCTTGCCCTCGACATCACCAGGGTCATCGCGCTTGATCTTATAGTGCAATGCACCGCATACCGGGCAAGCGTTCAAATCCTCGTACTCACCGCCGTAGAGGATGCAGTCATTAGGGCATGCATGTATCTTCTGCACCTCTAACCCTAGAGGGCAGACAACCTTATTTTCTTCGTGCGTACTCTCTGGCAATTCGTTTTCCTTTGAAAGCATATTCTTTATCATTACCAGCAACTTTCCAAATCCCTTGTCAGATACACTATTCTCTGCCTTCCATTGCAGCAATTCCAGTGTGGTGCCCAACTTTTTCTTGTCAGGTTCGCAATTCGGGTACAACAATTTCTTGTAATCCTCTAACATGCGTTGCAACTTCTTCTTCTCCAAATCACTTGCGCAGTTTCTCTTTGCATCGGCAATGGCCCGACCTAGATCATCAGCGGGCTCATCTGATGCCTCTTCTTCAGCTTCTTCCCGCATTGCCAGCTCAGCTTCTTCCCCCATTGTTGTATCATCGTATTCAGGGAACCCATCATGGCCATGATAGCTGTCGTCGTCCTCTTCTTCTTCATTGTCTTCCATCATAACCTCTCTTTCTCCGTGCTTGGTCCAAACATTATAGTGGGGCATGAAACCGGACTGAAACAGGTGGACATGAATGGTTCTTGACTTAGAGTAATTGTTATCATTCTTACATCCAACACATGGACAAGGCATAAAACCATCTGCCCGCTTGTTTGCCTCAGCCGCAAGCAGAAAAGTTTGCACGCCATTAATGAACTCGGGAGAGCATCGATCATCGTACATCCATTGTCGGCTCATCTTCATTACACAACACTAAAAAGACCAAATTAATACAAGTTCATACATAAAGTTCATACAACACTTAAATGCAACAAACAAATAACTCTCTAGCTAAAGAATTTAAATGCAACAACAAATGCGATCAAGATCGCAACTAAGGTAACAACTGATCCAACAGCATAATGACACCAAGCCTCACTATGAATGGCATATTTTCTAATCTTTCTAATCTTCAAGCGCATTTTCTCCATCTTAATCTTGTGATCATCGATGACATCGACAACATGCAACTCCAATTCCATCTTCTCCCCCTCAATTCTTTTCAATTTTTTTTTCAAATCCTTGTTTTCTCTTTCAACTAAATTTAACCTCTCGACAATAGGGTTGTTTGGAATTTCTGGTTCAACTACCTCCTACATACAAATATCTATGTCAGCTTGATGGACATAATTTGTCAAAAACACAAAATGCAACAAATAGTTTTAAAAGAGAATATACCACATCTGAATCATAACCCGGACGAATGCCGACGGGGACGGATATAAAAACCATGGTACTATGTATAACAAACAACATACGGGTAAGATAATTATACGAGTAACTATATATCCAAATCACACAAACATCAATTTTTTATATAAAACATTCATGAACAAGAGGCACACCACAAGGTGGTGCCGGCGACGGGACGGTGCGGGCGATCGACGGTGGTTTTGACGGAGATTTAGAAGGCACTAAGTAAAACACACCTACATGTGCAAACTAAGTGTTATTTTTGACCTCAAATTGCATATAAATCAAATACTAGCACATATATATAATTCCTCCCAAATTACTAAACTCACAAATCAATCACTATATAAAACATTGCAAGAGCTAATCTAGCAATGAGAGATGAAAGGACAAAGTTGCTAACCTTTGTGATCATTTGAATGGATGGGGGCCTTCAAATCTTGACAAATTTTGGGCAAAATGTGTGATGAGCTTGAGAGGAAGAGGGGAAGAACAGAGAGGAGAGGGGAAAGGGGAAGAACAGAGCGAGCTCGGGTGGTCGAAGGGTGTATGTAGGACGACCTTTAGTACCGGTTCGTGATACGACCCGGTACTAAAGGTGCCGGAGGGCCCCGGGCTGACAACATCCTACCACCACTCACTTTAGTACCGGTTCGTGGCACGAACCGGTGCTAAAGGTTCGATACGAACCGGTACTAATGAGAGCGGCCGGCTAGCCATTGGAACCGGCACTAATGCACACATTAGTGCCGGCTCAAAACCAAACTGGCACTAATGTGCTTCACATTTGACCCTTTTTCTACTAGTGTCATGGCCATTGATGGGATAGTTGCACGGAGGAGCTTGTCCTTCAGCCAACCTAGCGAACAGTGGAGACAGCTGCCGCACGTTGATATCATTGTGAGACCCAAGCATGCTAAAGAAAGAGTGCCAAATCCAAAGATTGTGTGATGCAACTGCTTCAAGGATGATGATGGGCTTCTTAACATGGCCTTGATATTGCCCTCGTAGAGCATATGGGCAATTTTTCTAGCTCCAGTTCATGCAATCAAGAGATCGGAGCATACCTGGCCATCCTCTTGCATTCGAGAGTGCCATGAGCCTTTCGATGTCTGCGACAGTTGGCTCTCTCAAGTACTGTGGTCCAAATATATCGATCGCCGCAGTTACAAATCTGACGATGGCATCTACGCATGTGCTCTTAGACATCCGGAGGTACTCGTCCCACGAATCTGCTGTTGGGCCATATGCAATCATCCATAATGTAGCCGTACACTTATGGTAACTAGAGAATCCAATTCTTCGTACAACATCCTTCTTCAAGATGAAGTAGTCATCGTAGGCCTAGACCCATTGTAAAGGTGATCGAACACATTTTTTCGCATCTGAAAGCGTAGGCGAAATTTGTCCACGGATAGGGTATCGGGGGCAAAGTAGTCATTCATCAACCTCCAACGCCCATGTGCCCCGTTCCAATTCAGCACTTGATGACCCTTGATCGTTCCCTTGAAATTGAGAACATGCTCTTTCGCATGCTCTGCGTCTGCAAGGATTGCCTACATCATCACCGTTTTATCCACATAATCCTCGTCGGACGAGTCGTTGGACGACTCAACGAAGTTGTCGTAGATGCACTCCATGTCCTGCTCTATTGCTTCAAAGAAGGGAGAAAAGTTGTCAAAAAAATAGCACGGGCATTTCCCCAAACACTTATCGGGCATGGTGATCCCCACGGACGGCATTCATAGGGGCGGATGGTACCTGCGCAGCGAACGGACGAGAGGTGGAATAGCAACGTAGATAAAGTAGTGTGGTGACCGGGTGGAGCGATGGAGGTCCGGCAAGGCCTTTGGCGAGCGGCAGGGGTGGTACAGCGGCGGCGGCAGCCAGGGAGGAAGCGGATGCAGAGCAAGGGGGAAGGGACGGAAACGCGGGCGGCGGGTGGGGTTTTGGATCGGCCAGGGGTGTTGGAGTCGTACAATGGGGGGAGGCTGGTCCGGACACAGGCAAAGCTTCCACAACTTTGCGTCCGGTTTGCGAGATTTTGGACAGCAGAACGAGTCAGCATACGTGTGATCCGGACATTTACGAGTGATTTAAGGGTCGGCTTTGGAGATGTCCTTAGAGCAACTCCAAAAACACTTATAAAATCTTCCTGTAAAACTGGTTTTATGGCCTTCTCGTAAAAGTTAGGGGAAGTTGTCTCGGAGCAATTTTTGTTAGTTCCCCTAAATCTATTTTGTAGATAGTTGCATAGGACCCACCAGTAAGTGACACGTGATGGCGAGCGATGCGGCGGCCACCAGCGAGGGGTGGCGCGAGGCAGTGCATTGGTCGCCACCGCCGGCGTTCCAGCGAGGTTTTGGCGCGGAGGCAACACGGGCAATGGCAGCGCGTGCATAGCGGTGGCGGCATTCTGGCGGGGTGACGGCGAAGTTTCGGGTGTTTACTAGCCCGTCAAAAAGATACAGGAAGATGAGAAAAGGCTCCTACTTTTATAGGATTCTCTAAAGTTATGGACACTTTACGGAAATTGTTGGGAGGGTCTTTTGCCAACCTTCCGTAAATGACGATTATTTTAGAGATAGGGCGAAAGCTGTTGGAGTTACTCTTAGGGGTTTTAAGTGACCTGGTAGAGTTGCTCTAAGCAATGGGACATGAATTTGTTGTAAGCACCATCTATTCAACTTCCGATCTGCAAATGCAGTCAGTAAAAAACTATTTTAAAACATTTTCTAGAAAAACTATTTAAAACGTAAAAAAAAGATGTTTAGCTCTAGAACCCAAGACATTCATAATCATGCTGAGGACAGGTGCAATTTTTTCACGAATCATATTTGGGAAACAAGCAATTTCCAGCATAACACGGGATAACTGCATACCAAAAGAAACCCCTTCCGAAGAGAAGAAGAAAATCAGTATTTTTGAAGTCTGAACCTTGATAAGAAAAGCTAATCAGTTTGAATGTCAACACTAGACGTTGCAATTACAATACAGGGATATTCAGAAAGGAAATCATGTGCAGGGTCAATCTCCAAAAAATACATTGACAGGCACAAGCTCTAATCTACAGATCTTGGAACATTAGTGAGACATCAGCATCAGAGGGCCCAATATACAAGAAAGCACGGCAAGTAGGAGCTGTGATCTGCAAATCCTGAAGCAGTGGTGAAACGGCATCCTCCTCCTTATGCACCTGGAAACATATCATGTCGCATAATACTTTCCTGGAGCAGGTGCAAGCAAATCACCTAAGAACAGGAAAAAAAGAACACAGTGATGAGTATATCTGAACGTGTGATGAGAAAAGCTAATCACAGTTTGAACGTCAACAAACACTAGACGCTGCAACTAAAATACAGGGAGCGATATTCAGAAACATAGCTCGGTCACCTCACCTGGCAGCAGGCTGAATCTCTCTGAAAGGTTGCTGATCTAGAGGTCCCGGAAGAGTGACAAGGGAGACGTAGCATCTTGCTGATGCCCCTGGAACAGGGCATGTCGCCTAATGCTTTGCTTGAATAGGTGTATGGCAGGCGCAGCCAAATCGCCTACGAACAGTGGTCCAGGCGCTAGCTCTCCGTGTCTGTTGCAGTACAGGAGCGCCTGAGTGCCTTGTTGGCCTTCCCCTCCCTGGCCCTGGCCCTGGGACACGCACCTTACGATCACACCTCCATCCATGGACATAAGAAAGGGATCCCAGGTATGTGCTCCAAAGCCAGTGATATCTGCAACCGGCAACTGAATACTGTGTTTGAGCTCCCACATCTTCAGAGAATCTAATACCCATAGCTCAACACTTGATTCACCCCTCCTGTGAAGAGACAACCCCAACTCGCCGTCCAACTCAAGAACCTTCATCGTATTGTTGGTGTTGCTCTTGGAGCGCTCCTTGGTCTTGGGAAGCTTCATCCAGTGAAAAAGCTCAGACTGGTAATCAAAAACTGTAATTTCCCGTGGCCACAGCTCCAACGGTGCCCAATAAAGGTTGGCCCCGACCATGGCAGGCGGCTCAATTGCCGAACTCTGCAGGCTGAACCCCAGCTTCTTCGGTCCATCAATTTCTGGCAGATTCGCCGCGGGCGACACAGGGCAGTACCCAATGGATTTATTGCTAAGAGATTGATGCACTGACAGGACGAAGAATTCGGCATCACCCTCCTCATCTTCCTTGAGATAGAGGACCCTAAACTCATCGCCCAGCATGTACAGTCCCAAGATTTCATGGTCATCCAGCTGTGGGAGGCGGCGTGATTCTTTTGTACCTGGGTTGCAGATATAGCACCTGTGCTCGAAGGAGACGAGGAGGAGGCCTCCAATTGAGCCCTGTACGGCAGACATTAGATGCTCTGCGGTTTCTTCATCTGGATCAAAGACCTCAAATACTCCAAAGCTGGTGAAGCTGATTATGGAGCGGAAACCGTCCTCGGGGTGCTGGAAATCAACAGCATCTACACGGTGACTCATCTTATGCCTGGTGTTGTCTGGATCGACTGGGACGATCAGGTGCTGTGGCTTTTGGCGCCCATGGTATTCTTCGAGGAAATTGTTGTTGCTGATGCGGTTGAGCCAAGATTTGCAGACAGCACGAAATCGCAGGACTGACTTGGGCGGGAGTCGCTCGAGGATTGCCCACCAGATCTGCTCGGGGAGGTCAGCGATGTGCCCCGCCGCCGTTGACGACCTCTTCGATTCCATGTCGATCTCGGTCTGCAAAAGAAATTGAAACATCCAACTAGCCGATCAGTGAAAGACAAGCAAACAGCAATTAGAGGGAAAGTATTGAAACGCGATTAAGCACGGCCAGTTCCAAGAACGAAAGAAAACATTACGAGAAGGGGTGATTTGAGAAACTCAAACGAGGGGAGACCAATTCGAGCGCACCAAAAAATTGGATTGATGGGAACGAAATCTTGGTTACGGCTCGTTCGATCAGCACAAGAAACTCCCGATTGAAACGGGGCGCAAGAACGGTCGACGCCAGAGAAAGAAAAAGATTCAGGAACTACCATACAACACCCATCAAGAAACGGGGAACTAGATGACTGTCGCGCGCAAGAACTGTCGATGCCAGAGAAATATTCAGGAACTCGCGAATTGGTATCTTGCTATGCCATACAGCAACCATCAAGAAACGGGGATCGACATGAATCCGAGCTCACCTGGACGGATTCCTTGTTCTTGGCGCTTGATCCGGTTCTCGTCATCCCGCCAAGGGCCTGCGCTGCTGGGGCACCAGGACGGATTCCTTGTTCTTGGTGCTCGCTCGGGTTCGTGTCGTCCCGTCAACTGCGTGCGCTGTGGGGAAATCGAGGGGGAGGGGGAGCTCGCCCTGTAGTTGTTGGGGAAATCGAGGGGGAGGGGGAGCTCGCCCCGTCAAGTGCCGGAACCGGCTCCTCTACCGTGCAGTGAGCACGGCAGGGACGCTACAGTACCCTGCCTTTGGGCATCTATCAGCTGTTAGATGCAGTATAAATGGCTCAGACCTATTTGCTACAGTGTGCAAACAGTGCAAATGCTACAGAAACCGAAACAGTATATTCCGCTACAGTATGCAAACAGTAATTCCGGCTACAGTCATCCTGCCGTGCCTTCTGTATTTACACTGTCCCGGGATACTGTAGCATCCCTGCCGTGCCCGCTGCACGGTAGAGGAGCCGGTTCTGTCCTACATATATATAGAGCACGGACGGGAGCGCAGTCGCGCGAGGAAGGCGGTTATTTTGTGAGGACAATGGAAATCGGTTGTGGGAAATTGTGGGAAGCGAAGCTTACTCTGATCGCGGGCCAACTGAATAGCAGGGTGCGGCAGCCATCAGAACAGAGAGACGGCTGTAGTGTAATTTCCCCTTGTTGTCGTCAGACACAATCGCCACAGCCCCTAGGGCAGAGCATGGCATTGCATCGTGCTCCTCCATGACCATGAGCCGGGGATGAGCAGCTGTGTCGACTGTCCAACACCGGCCAGTATGTTGTCCGCTTGGCGCCCAGTGCAGTGCAGGACTGCAGGCTGCCGTGCCGTGTACAAGGAAGGACCGGGCGGGTTGGTGCAGGCGCGCGCGCTCCACCGACGCCACCTCGTCCACTCCAGTAGTCCAGTGCAGACGACGGCGCGCTCGATGCCCCTCGCCAGCTGAGATGGCCGGTGGGAGCCCGCCGTGTTGGTCTCGGCGGCACAGGACCCGACCCGGCATTCCCACGGGCCACGGGGCGGCGGGAGGGGAGCGTACCGGCGCGTGGCGGGTTTGCAGACGAAGAAGGCGTCGAGGACGCTGAGGATGCCGTCGCAGGACGCTGCACCTCGCGGACTCTGTAGGCGAGGCCGTCCGCCGATGAAGCGCACGACCAACCGGCGCTTGTCGGTGGTGAGCCCGACGGCCTCGAGCTCGAGCTCGAAGCAGTTGGAGAGGCGCGCTGGCTTGGGGGCCTCGCAGTAGGAAAGGAGCAGGGAGCAAGGGGGATCTAGCGGTCGGCGGCGAGCCGGAGCGAGAGCCAGACGCTCGCAGACGGCGCGGGAGCGGAGGGCGTATTTGGGCGTCAGCGATGGGAGGATATCGGAGATCACGTCTTCTGTGACCTGGGAAGGCGGCGAGGGCTCTTCTCTGCGCCGCTCTCGCTCCTTCCGCGGCCATTGACAGAGGGGGGAGCTTGGGCAACGGCCGGCGACCTCTTTCCTTCTTTTTTGAATTTTGAAATCCTAGGCAACGGTACAGACGAGTCGGACTAGGATAAGGTTGACGCCCGTGACCCGTCCAACTATAAGCAAAAAGAACACGAAAATAAGAGAAATTACAGATGGGTCCTTAAGCTATCAGTGACCATAGACGCTCTCCTTGGCTTCTTTGGCGAGAAGGAAGTCGGCTGCCTTAAAAAAAAACCTGTGCGATGGCTTTGAGCATAATGGTATTCTTTTTGTGACGGCTTTGAGCATAATGGTTGTGGGCTCACCCTAGGCCTGACGCAGGGTGGATCTAATGTCTCCTCATCGGAACAACTTGGAGAAGCATGCCACCTTCATAAAGTATAATCGCAGTCGATATAGCTCACACTATCATCTCCTCGCACGCATTGCTTCTTGGAGCTAAAACCCCACTCGCTTGTCGAAGCCAGAGAGAAAGAGACCAAGCGAGGAGGACTTTATTCCAAGACATCGTCACTGACTCCGCCTCGTTGATGAAATCACGGACACCATCCTCAAGCTCCACCATCCTCTACCACTAGTAGTGGAGCCACCATAGCCGAGAAGCCTAGACAGACACCGGAGTGGGTCGCCTCCACCATTGCTAGAGCCCAGAGGACAAACTTTTTGAACCTAACTATGGCCTCACATGGGCGGGCCTATCTACAAACAAGACCTAGATACGGGGTTCATCCATCCTCCCGACGTCGTGGTGGCCACTAGATACTAGGAGAATCGATGAGAGGGTCGACAGAAGGCGCATAAGAGTTTTGAGTTTTGGGCGGTAGGGGAAGTGACTACAGGAGTTGGCCGAAGGGTAGAGAGATTTTGTCGACCATTGTCCTGAAAATAGGTGGATGAGGCACTAGGAACCGTTGATATAACGGTGTGCCCGACATATAGGTGAATTAGCGCGAAGCCCTAAGCTTAATGTCTAAACATCTTTGAGAATTTGATGAAAATCAACAACAGTTATAGAACATGTATATGTTATATCACAAAATTTTATTATATCTATATAATTTAATAAACAACAAAGGCACATTCTTTTGTGAATGGTAGAAGAGCTACATTGTGCTTCAAGTTTTGGATGTGATGCTATTCACAGTATATTTTGTGTTGTTTTTCTTGAAACAGACTCTCGCCCCGCTTTATGTATAAAACACAAACCAAAATACATGGTCGAACGATACAAGATAGTGAGAAAGCTCTCTTACACAATAGATCCCAGGACAACTGGACAAAGTAAATGCATGCAACTATGTTCTCGAAGGAAAACACGGGATGGTATGAACACATCGTCATCACACGCCCTAAGACACCTAAATTCCATAATAATGCTCTCGAGAGGGGCAACGACGATGAGCATCATTGTTGCTGAGTCCAAGATGAACAAGGGTCTTCATCTAGAACACTGACACAGAGAAAAACCACAACGACATCCTCAAGAGGAGAGCATCACCTGTGAGTGTCATCGCCATCGCGATGAGCTTTCACTCGATAGCTCACCTGTGTCAACATGAGGCACTTAGGACAGTCTGGCGAGCACATGCCTCCAGATATGAATCCGGGCATTGCCACTACCAACGATAGTGAATGAGCCTGGAACACCCGCCACTACACCTCTTGCCACCCACGCAACCAAGAGGCATCGCCACCACCCCGGCATGGTGCCCGCCAAAGCGCCAACCATGTGGACTGCCCTCCGGGGACGTTGCCCCGGTGTTCTTGGTCTAATGCATCGTTCGCCCATTTCATCGGATCTCGACAAACACACCGCAAAAGAGTATTACATCGGATAGATCTCCAAGAAATCGAGGAGAACGTGGGATTGAGAATGAAAGAGAGAGAAGAAGCCATCTAGCTACTAGCTATGGACCCGTAGGTCTATGGTAAACTACTCACACTTCATCAGAAGGGCAATAGAGTTGATGTAGAAGGTCTTCGTGATCGAATCCCCCTCCGGTAGGGTGCCAGAAAGAGGCCCGTAGATGGGATCTCATGGGTACAAAAGGTTGCCGTGGTGTAAAAGTGTTTTCATGGATGCTTCTGGTGGTTTGAGAATATACGTGAATATATAGGCGACAGAATTAGGTCAGGGGAGTCATGGGGGGGGGCACAAGACAGGGGGCGCGCCCTCCATCCTTGTGGTCGCCTCATGGCTCCTCTGACTTCATCTCCAAGTCTCCTGGGTGTCTTCTGGTCCAAGAAAAATCATCACAGAGGTTTTAATCCGTTTGGACTCCGTTTGGTATTCCTTTTCTACAAAACTCAAAAACAAGGAAAAACATAAACTCGCACTAGGCTCTAGGTTAATAGGTTAGTTCCAAAAATAATATAAAATATCATATTAATGCATATAAAACATCCAAAACAGATAATATAGTAGCATGGAACAATAAAAATATATAGATGCGTTGGAGACGTATCAAGCATCGCCAAGCTTAATTCATGCCTTGTCCTTGAGTAGGTAAATAATAAGAATAGAATTTTTGATGTGGAATGCTACCTAACATATTTATCCATGTAATTCTTCTTTATTGTGGCATTATTGTTCAGATCCATAAGATTCAAAACGAAAGTTTAATATTGATATAAAAATAATAATACTTCAAGCATACTAACAAGGCAATTATGTCTTCTAAAAATAACATGGCCAAAGAAAGCTTATCCCTGCAAAATCATATGGTCTGGCTATGCTCCATCTTCATCACACAAAATATTCAAATCATGCACAACCCCGATGACAAGCCAAGCAATTGTTTCATACTTTTGAAATTCTCAAACATTTTCTACTTTCACGCAATACATGAGCGCGAGCCATGGACACAACACTATAGGTGGAATAGAATATGGTGGTTGTGGAGAAAACAAAAGCAAGAGATTGTTTCACAGCAACTAGGTGCATTAACGGGCTATGGAGATGCCCATCAATAGATATCAATGTGAGTGAGTAGGGATTGCCATTCAATGGATGCACTAGAGCTATAAGTTTATGAAAGCTAAAAAAGAAAACTAAGTGGATGTGCATCCAACTTGCTTGCTCATGAAGACCTAGGGCAATTTGAGGAAGCCCATCGTTGGAATATACAAGCCAAGTTCTATAATGAAAAATTCCCACTAGCATATGAAAGTGACAACATAGGAGACTCTCTATCCTGAAGATTTGTTCGCACACGAACACGTCACCGTGTACCTCCAACGCCGAGGGTGATGCACCGCAGCTCGCGTCGAAGGAGACCCGTCCAGAAGCGCGATACGCAAGACAATTCGGCGGGTGCTTTTGAGGACCCGAAACCCCACACGCCTGGGAGGGACCCCGTCAGGGCGCGCGGCGGCTATGGGCTGCCCTAGATTGACCTGATCGCCCCTAGGGCCTCGAGGTTCGCCGCCCTGCAAAGAAGAAGAACAGACGAAGAACGAGGAAGAAGAAGAACTAGGGTTAAGGAGAAAAGATAAAAGATAAAAAGTGGTAGATGAATTGATCGATTGTGTGTTGTTCAATCGGCCATCACCCCTTGAGTATAT